TGTATACGGTTGGATGACCTTGATCTCTCATCGCTTTTTCCTTGTACCATTGATGGGACTCCCGGATGAGATGGGGTGGCAACCATTTGCAAAGCTTGCGGAATGTTTACTGTCCTATACAGGCGAGCTACTGAAGCCATTACAATTGACATTGGCGGCAAGGGATATTTATCAAGGAGTTCTCAAATTCTTTCTTGTGTTACAGCATGATTATCCTGACTTCGTAGTTGCATACTCGTCGAAGTTATGTGCCAACGTGCCAGGTCATTGTGTTCAATTGTTGAATCTCATTCTCAATGCTCATCCAACAAAGACTCAGTTGCCAGATCCGTTACAGCCAGGATTGAAAATTGAACGTATTGAAGAGATCCGCACATCACCAGAGATTGCCAGCCTTGATGTCGAGGGAACCCTACAATCAACAGGTCTATATGAGATTCTCGAACAAGCCTTACAAAATGGCCCTTCGGAAGATGCGGTGGCTCACATTACTCATACTATACAACGCAAGCAAACCGAAGTGAGCGGCCCAGGATTTGTGCCTGTCAACGTTGACTTGCAGCTGATTGAGTCTATCGTTTTACACATCTGTATGTACGCTGTGACGAGAGCAAGTCAAAAGGGAGAGCTTAATAGTTTTGCTCGCGGTTCTACCGATGCTGCTTTGCTCTCGATGCTGGTTCACGAACTCAACCCAGAAGCTCGACATTATCTTCTGACCAGCATGGTCAACCAACTTCGTTTCCCTAACGCCCATACAAATTACTTCGTGCAAGCGCTCCTGGAACTATTCGGAAATGACGTCAATGATCAAGAGGAGTCGGATATCAGTCAACAAATTCTTCGGGTTTTGTTAGAAAGAGCATTTGTGTCCCTGCCGATCCCTTGGGGCGTGCTTAACATGGTCATCGAACTCGCCAAGAACGAGAACAAATACAAATTCTTTGACTTGCCATATATCAAGTCGACACCAGAGGTAAGATCCGCGGTCCTCTCACTTTACTCAAATAACTGACAGAATTTTGATTAGGTCGCTGAGCGGATTGCTGTTATCGTGCAACGTTCTCTCTCAAGATAAAGTTACACACCCTTAACCAGATCTGGATAATTTGATTCTGGCACAAACATATAAATGTGTCGCACCAGTGATTGAAAATTTTCAAGATCTGTCTCATTGTTACATAACCTCTTAGGTCACATTCGGCGTTCCATGTTACAGATCTTTCCGGTTTGTCTACTGCATAGCGAGTAAAAGGAATTGGGATTTTTGCAAGATCTGCTATACTTATGGTGGGAACAGGGAACGACAAAAATTTTTATTTAATGCATCTTACATGATTAATGTTTCCTTGCCTACCTTCTGTATGACAGAAATTTAAGGGTGGGCAAAAAATCTGGTGGCGTGGGGAAAAACAGACATATGGCGTGGAAATGGTTTGGCTTACTTGCTGTTATGTGGGAAGGCGGCAAACTTTTATGTATCATAAATGGAGTTCAATATATTTTTCTGGAAACAATCACATTCGTTTGTGAAGATCGTTCTCCTTTATTCCCACGAGATTAATTACTGACAATCTTTAATGGGTGGATTTTTTTATTTTTATTATGACGATGTGGTCAAAACAAACTGCCGTTCTTAGCGCTTCTTAGAATTACATTGTGGAGAAACCCTCGCTTCAGTTGGCAAAGATCTTCTCATTTTTTGATTGAAAATCACTGATTCTGGTTTGATGAAAGTTGATTATGGCTAATCAGCCTCAAGTTCAGAGCTGCCCCACAGCGGGAAATTGGGGATTCCGCAAGCGTGGCCGAGCTTAAAAATATTCACAAACATGATATATATCTCCTTGACGTGCTAGGAAAGAAAGGGGAATGATGAACTTTTCAGGTAGACGTCGAGAAGCTGATGAAGGGTATTCTTACATAGCTCAAATGTTTCGGTACCCATACATTTCCCTATTCTCGATTCCGTGTTCATATTGATTCTACTCTAGTATTAGTTCACGTCCTTCAGACCTAATGTTTGGTAAAATAATCTTCTTGGCAGCAGCGTTGCTAATTTTCCTCGCACATGCTGAAGGGAGCTTCACGACTTGGTCACCACCTGGTCCAGGTGATGTTCGTTCTCCATGTCCCGCGATGAACTCCCTCGCCAATCATGGATTTCTCCCGCATGATGGAAAAGGATTCACGGTTCCTGATGTTATCACCGCGTTAGATACTGCTTTGAAGTATGATTTCTCTTTGTCACATCAAACTTTCTCTATTGTCTCCTAACTGTACTATACATCGATTGATCACTGTAAATCTAATCTTTAATCTAGCGTGGGCGTCGATTTTGCCACTGCCATTGGCACCGCCGGTCTGCTCTCAGTTCAAGGCAATCTCCTCGCTACATCTTTCAATCTCGATGACCTCAACGAGCACAATTTTCCCATCGAACACGATGGATCGCTTTCCCGCGCCGACTACTACTCCTCTCCAAATCACGATGACTATTCATTCAACCAAACAATCTTCAACCAATTCCTCTCATTCTTCACCTCCCCCCAAACATCCATCCCCGTCGCCGCGGCCGCCAAATACGCACGTGTGAAATATGAAGAGGAGCACGATCCACACTTTTCTTACTCGGCTCAGCATTTTGTTTTGAGCTATGGAGAGACGGCGTTGTATTTGAGTACGCTGGGGGATCCGGTGGAGGGTATCGCGGATGTAGAGTGGGTGAGGGTTTTCTTTGAGGAGGAACGGCTGCCGTATCGGGAGGGGTGGAGAAGGGGGGGTGTGCAAACGAATTTGGCGAGCTTGGCGGTGATGATCGAGAAGTTGATGTTGGCTAATGAGGAGGTGTTGCCGGAGGGTCTGGAGGTGACGGCACAGACGGTGGGGATTGCTTTTGGGGGGTATGATCCTCTTACGGGGGTACTGGGTCATGTGGTTGGGTGATTGCGCTGGAATGGGGGAGGCTGTCGATTATGTTTCAGTGTTTTGAAACCATCTAGAATCCAAGCTGTATCGTCAATCTGGTCAAATTTAAGTCTCAAAGATATTTAATTGCAAATAACTGTTGCTAACTGCACCACAAAGTTTATTATACTGGCCAATAAAAGATAGTATAAGTAACGATACTTTTCCTGTTTAGTACTATCTGCTGGTTTGAGAAGAGTACGTATGAAATAAGACCTACGATGTAGGCTCTAGTTGTCAATGTGTGTTCAACTTAAGGAAGTAGCTAATTACAGGAAGAAGCAGTCTTTAAATACGCCTTGTTGTAGAACTAGCTCCTTTGTAGTAGGCTATGAATGACTCAGGATCATTTATTCACCTGTTACTTACACACTACGTAGTGACGAGTTCGCTTGAGACGTATGAGATGGACTACTTGATTCTCCTCACCTAGCGATTCCGGAAATCGAAGAATATGGGGTATCTAAAATCACAAAACGTCAACTGCTTTCTATTTTATACTCGAGTACTCATTGCAGTCTCAGACTGATTCGATTTGATTTGATGCTTGCGGAGATGGGTGACAGTGAAATCAGTATCATCACCAAACGATTCTTATTCATTCATATATGTTGGTGTGTTGAGAAACAATGCTGGATTCGAGGACGTTTCGCTGTTTTCCATGTAAATGCGAGGACAACCAGAGAAGGAAGCGGGAGATTCCGAGGACAGCTGTGGTTTAAGTAGTACTTATCAGGGCATTGATTCATATCATGATTCGAAAAGCTAGCAAATTGATCCATTCGATATCTGGGGGAAATGATGGCTGACGATGGAGATAGATGTTGGTAACCATAACTCTATTATGATTAGATTTTTTTCAAATCGGTTCGCTCAATATCACGGAAATAATGACCAGTGAGAGTGACAGTGACTGGGACTGGTATTCACAATTCTACTATGATTGGTTCACTCAATATTGCGGAAACAATGACAGGCATTCAGATTCGAAGAAAGAATACAGCTCCAACCATGGTTATTGACAAGCCACTGAGATAAAAACCACCCCGTTGTTGGAGTTGAGAAGGGGACAGAAATCCGCGTTTCAAATTTTCAATACATTCACAGCATCTTCTTCCTAGAATGAAACTAAATGATGAATCTATTCGATGAATGTACACAGGTGCAGCATACAAACTTACTGAGCTTGGACGAGGCACCTCTGGATTCAGAAGACTCCGTGCCACCAACGAATGAATTTCCCGCGAAGGTCAATGTCAAAGACTGATAGATGCATCTGTATTGAGAGGCGCTTTCACGAGCTGGAGCCGCTGCCTAAATACCTTGAAGCTAAACTCTTTCCTTACGGTACAAAATATTGGTTATCTGCTTTGCAACATCTCAATGTCGGAATAGAGCAGAAGGAAGATATGGGCTACTAGCCTAGCCGAGGTTAATCTGGCACCTCTTTAGCGACAAACGCGGGCTCTCCAATCTGGTAGTTATACCATTACCGCCGAGCTCTTGAAATAATCATGAGGTGAGATGAACTTATTACTAGGTATGAACTAGCCTCTGTTGCGCCACGGCCATTATTCAACGCCATCTCAGTGATATTAGATATGCTTCATGTTGGTAGCGCGAGCACGGTCAAGATTCATCATTCGTGAAAGAGCTACAGAAGTTCAAACTGGAGCTCTAAGCAAACATCTAGTTAGTAAACAGTTACCATACAGTAAACATATGAAAGTCGTTGCTTTCAATTTGCATTCTGCTATAGGTAGTAGACTACTTGACCGTTACGCTGTCTTGAATCCGGTAAATTGTAAACTCAATCCAGAATATAAGATGGGAATTGGAGAACTGTTTTCTATGACGAAACAGATAGGAGGGAAAAGTACCAGTATAAAAATACATATTTTGGGTGCAGAGTTAGCTAGCTAGAACCAAAGGGGTGTTTCATTAACAAGATTTGTTCACGCCATTGTGCATGCGCATTCTTCTCACAGAGTATCAATCATAGCAAGAGGAATCTACTCACTAGTTTACCGATCTCACAAGTTCCTCCTTAATGCCAATATGTCACTCAACTTCACAACCCCTTTTCCACCCCACCCTGCAACACCACTCTCCACCTCTGGTCTAACCTGCACATACCATCCCCAAGCTCTCCTATCCAACTCCTCCTTTCCGATATGCTCCACCCAATTCTCAAACAACAGATCTAGTGCTCCCATCAGCAATCCTAGATTGTTTTCTTTTTCTTCAGCTAAAGTTTTCGCAGTTTTCTTCTTTTTGCCCTTTCCTCTCTCATCGTTCTCATCTGCGGGTGGCGAAGCAAAGGCATTCAGGATGTATTTTCTCGCTCCCTCCGGCCTATGAATAGGCATACTACCTCCACCTGACGAACTAATAGCTTCAATGTCTAATCCCCATAATTGTTCTCCTCCTCTGATGTTTCCCGCGACTCTTAAGCGTTGTGACAATGCATCATTAGAAACTTGTGACATGATCCGCCAGCGGTCAGGCCCTAACATAACACCTCCATACCATCTTGAGACAACAAGTAGAACCCCAACTATATTGTTATTTTGAAGCACTCCCAGGATATGTTTACCGCCACCTGATTCGCCATCGTCTTTACAATCTTCGATGATTCCATGTTCACCTTGAACACGGAAGGCTGTAATATTATGACTTGCATCCGAGATGGAGGTATCCTTAAGGAGGGTTTGAAGATGGGTGCGAGCTTGACTGGATGAAGATACAGATATCGAGCGAGCAATGAACGTTGAACCCTTAGATATTATGGGTGTGGAGACGGCCCATTCATCATTCAAGTCGTTTTTAACTGCAATACTGTCTTCTTCCTTCTTAACCTCACTCTCTCCTTTGATTTCCTCTGGCCCATCATAGCCTCCTCTCTTCAAGACGCCGATCTCCCTCCCCATGATCTTTACCTTAGGCCATCCCTTCCCTTCATCCTCATCCTTCCATTTCCCTTTCAGACCTAGGCTCTCTGCTTTACTCTTACTGTTCGCACTAACCAGCGCCTGCGCCAAACTCAATCTCCCACTTAACCCCTGTCCCGGCATCGTATACTTCAATAATTGCAATGTCCATGCCAATACTAGAGGTGCTCTATTTGTATAAATAGTAGTCTTCTCAATCCTCTCTTCATCTCTCACAATTTCTGGTAGCTCCAGACTCTTCTCTAACTCCTCTTCCGTTTGTTCGACTGGCAAAGAATATGCCGATTCGAATGTTTTGACGCGTTTTGACGCTCCTTTACTTGTGGCATCAGTCTCGCTCGCGGATCGTTTACCTGCAGTTTTACTAGCATTCTTACAAGCAGTAATTAGAGACTTCGTAGCTTTCTCATCAAGAGAAAGCGCGGACTGGAGAGTGTCAAGAGACGTGGATGCGACGACTGAGATGGAGGGGTTTATGGATGCGATTTGTAGGGCTTTAACCCGCTGCATTGCTGTAAGCATTGGGACTTTATTACGACCAGTTGTGAGCAGACGGAGAAGGTCTTGCATGTCAGCTTGGGAAGCCATTGTGCCTGGTAACGTTGCGTTTGTTCAAGTTTTATTGTAAGGCGCAGATGAAGATTTGTGAGCTTGATTGTTTGCGACAGCAATGAGGCTATTCAAGGCGGGGAATCATATCAAGTCGTGTATGTGTTCTAATAGTTCATCATTTTCAAAGGCCCAGTTTGTCAAGTTTTTTTTTAATTTTGTGAATTCTCGACGTAGCTCATGTAAGATCGTAATTGCAGTCAAATTCACAAGATTACCATCAGGAACTGAGCTCACCGGGGGTTTATCACAAGCTAAGCGCAGGGGTTACTTGGAGCCGACGTCATTATCTCACACAAGCGTTGTCTTGTAAACATCGCCCACCAACCTCACAGCGGAACGCGCATTCGCGTCAAGCTGCACTTCAAGACTTCCATGTTCTCATATTGGTTCTTATCACAAATAATGTAATGCAATATCAAGTTCACCCATAACCATGGTAATTATTCCCAATCTCATCACCGCGCACCAGTTTTCCTCCTACAAACTTATCCCATTCCCCATTTTCAGATTGCTAACCACACATCTGCAAATAGGATACCATAATTCGTAAGCCAATTGCGATCGCGACCTCGAAACTGGCGCGCAAAACATACCTCAATACTATATTATTTGTTTCGACATCACTTGTGTTGTTTGGGTTTGCTGTGGTAGCTTATGCGGGATTATATTGGAGCTGGGTGCCAGCACTTGGGGTGGAAAGGAGGGTTTGGTTACAATTCGCGTGCGTATATCATTCCATTTAAGAAGCCCTGTGGTCGGTACTGCTGTGGACGTAATAAATAAATGACTACGAGATATACTAACGCGGGAACAAATGCAGACCAGGCCAGCATCCACACGGCATTGTACCTCTAGACAACACCCTTGTAACACGTCAGGAATACGATATTCAACTCGAACTACACATGCCACGTTCTCCACTGAATCTGAGAGCCGGGAATTTTATGATACATGTGAACTTTCTAGGACCTAATTATAAAACCCCTAGCTTGATACCAGGCGTCGAACATCTACTACCTCTGTCAAGGATTACTAAGAATGAAGATGTACTTTTCTCTTCCCGGCGACCTACAATTTTGACATACGAAAGTGAGTTGGTATCTGGATTGGGCAAGCTGGTAAATGCACCACTGTATGTGCTCGGATGGAAAAGAGAAGACGAGAAGATTACTGTGGAAATGGCGGAAGGTGTTAGTTTTCCAAGAGGAAACAAGAACATACCAAGTGCAGTGGAAGTGGTCATTGAGAAAGATTCGGGCGAAGTACAAATATATGCATGCAGGATACTTGTGAGAGCGAAATTAAGTGGAATACGGTGGTGGATGTGGAATTGGAGGATTATCAGTGCGATCATCGGAGTGGGCGCATTTTGGGGGACGGAAATGCTAGGTTGTGTTTTTGGATGGGCAATCCTGAAGTTATGTTTTGGAGGGAGGGAGAAAGAAAGGGTTGGAAAGGGACAAGAGATTGCGAAAAATGAAGATGCAATCAAAGATGAGGCAACGGATGATGAGCCTGACCTTTCAGATACTCCGAGAACATTTCCAACTGTAAGGGGTCAAATGCCATTAATATATCCACCAATAGGCATCAAGAAAGAAGAGGATGAGGAAGATAAAATATTGGAAGAAGCAGTGATTCTGCCGCTTGGAGGGGATGCGGACGATGAAGACGAAGACGGGGAAGGGAGTTGGCAAGCTGGTAGGAGAAGTGATTCTGGCCTGGGCACAAGTTTTAGTGAAGGTGGTACTGGAGGCACGGCCCGACTCACTCGAAGGAGAAGTCGAGGTGGTCAGGCGAATGGATTGTAAGATTGCTCAAAGAGTCGGCGTAATGGGTTGAATAGATGAAATGGAGATACCCTTAATTGTACCATTTTAGTGATCATAGGCCGGTAGGGAAATTTGGAGTTTGGGACAGGTTCGAGAATTTGACCTACTTTTGACATTAATAGTCGGAAATATTGCATATGAATTTCAATTCTCGGCGTTCACAACCTTACTGCTTAACCAACTTGAGTCTCGCTGTTTTTACACTGTTTTCACCATCGAAGCAGGCAAGGCAGCAATTATTGAGTGCTAGCATCATGGCCCAGGTTGGGAACTCGAAATCAGACTCTTGTGATTTGTTCTCTATGGTAAAAATCCTTTTCTCTAAGCGAGGATGGAAGGTAGTAAAATCCGGTTATCATTGAACTCACTATTGTGATAATCGATATGTTAGATCTAATATCAAATCTAATTTGTAACAAATGCAGAAAGCTTTTCTATATAACAACGAATTCCATTTTACTCGGTACCCATGTCTGTAATCTTCTAAATTCTAGTAACTTTATATCTTTTACAGGCTACAACTCCATTTCATCTTCAAATCTCTCTAGCCAACAATTCTTCATACTTCTTTATGCTCTTTCCATGGCAACAATTCTTCCTGTAACCCACTCCTGTGTACCGCTGTAATCTAGCGATAGACCACAAGCGACCACAAGCGACCTCGAGGGGGCCGTAAGCGCTGGCGGCAACAATCTGTGATAACTGGTCTTAAAAAAGTCCCAAGGCTGTACTATATAGGTCTAGGCACCGGTGCGTATACCTCTAGAGGATTTAGTTTTGAAAATTCGTTCCCAGCACTGTCAGAATCAGTTGGAACATATGCCTGAACGATGTAGTTATTAAAACCCCTCCCGATGCAATTGAATATAGCTGTGTGCATAAATTATTATTCAAACTTTTTCAATCCATTGCATTAAGCAGCTTTGTTTTTGGGGAGTAAAACAATGTTTAACGACAACCCCTTTCGTCGTGAAGGCAAAGAGAACAGAAATCATCGAGATGATCGAGATGATAAAAAAAAGACATCGCGGGGAGGTTCAAGAGCTTCGTCTCGAGACAACTGCAAAAGTCCTCAATCTGACATAACGTCCAGATATCAAAACCGGCTGGGGTATCTTAAACCTATCCTCAGCCGTTTTACAGACATGCCCGGATTGGCGGAAGATGTTAGTATTATCATACCAAAATTACTAGATCATTTGAGAAGGTTACGCGAGAGCAATGCATCGCTGAATGGGGGCGCCAAGATAGGTGGATATATAGAAAAACTCGAGAAGCATCTCAAAAAATATCCCTACAGGAAGATTGTGGAACACGTCAAGAATACAGAAAAAGATCTCAAGGAAGAAAGACTGGTGCTGGAAGAAGGGGGTATAACGGCTTATGAAAAAGCATTTAAAGAAGCGAATGGGTGTTCACCTGAGATGTGGGAAACCACGAGAACAATGAAGAAAATCGAGAATGATTTAAAACTCACCGTCGACCAATATGGTAAAATTTTGCAAACGCATGATTGTCAGAAGAATTCGAATAAGACTGAAGTAGTGAATGAACTTATTTCAAAGTCTATGGAACTCAAAGCAACACATGAGAGAGCACGATCTATTCTTGCGAAAGATAATCCTCAAAAGCAGAGCAGCGAGCTGAGGAGTTATACGCCGGTTCCTCAACCAAATAATACCGGTAACTCTACGAGGCGTGCTCGTAAACCATTACCAGGGAGTAGTTAAGGCTGAGACTGTTCGTATGCTGTTGTTGCATGGTCAAGAGCCACCACAACGGCAAGATTAGTTATGTTCGTTCTGGGAGTTTGGGTGGAAGTTTCATTGGTTCACTGCCATTTGAGTTTGTCTATTTAGGGTCGTTTTAATGATGGAGCTATCCCAAAGTACTTGAGGATGGTAGCCCCCCTTCACCGTAATTACTGCACACTTCCCTAATATTCCATTTTTGAATGGATTTATTTGAGCTATTATTGCTCGACCAAACTTCTAATCTTACAGTGTTATGATACACACATAATAGAGTCTGAAAGGTAGTAATTGAATATGGTTGATCAATGTGACACTCGAATATTGACGGTTTCTTCAGATGGCAAACACATCCAAAACATATCATTGCAAACTGAAGATTGGGAGAAAAAGTCACCGTATTATTCGGTATGCTAAGCCTGTTATTCAATCCTAAGTAGACCAAGATGATCAGACTTGCCAAATCCTTTGTGAAGTCCTCCAATCTACATCTTGAGCAGTTTCGGGGTGGATCGCTTGTTGGAGATGAGGGAAATGGAGAAGTACATATTTTGACCTTCACTCCATATGACAGAGGGCCTTGGCAAAGAAAATATCTATCGCCTACACTTGTTGATGGCCTCGCACTTGAAAATATTGTGTTTAAGCCTTCGGCTTGTTGGACAACATAGCAGACCATTACTATGATGGCTAGAATCTAGACCCTATGGCGGTGTTAATTCCAAAGCAACATATGAGCGACATTCGGGTTTAGAATAGCAACGAAATTGAAATGCGAATATCAGCACAATCGAATGAAAACAGAATTGAATGACGATGTAATCGAAACACTATTCCCTTGAAGGTGTGAAATGAATCTCCTTAGCATTTTATTCAAGCAATTTGACAGACATCCATCCTGTAGCTCCACCCAAAAACGCCGACCCAATGCTGTAGTTTTACAGATGATGATAAGATACCTCCCCGCTATCCCCGAGTATTTCATTCGTTCCCTTTCAATTCGCCTCGAACCGATCTACAACCATCATCACCACCTTAGCTCGTTCTTATGTTTATTTGCATCGTCGCCACCCTCTTTTGCATCATCCTTCTTATCCACACCCTTCGTCTCTGGGCTTTCATCTGCAAATCCCAAGTTCTTGAGTTCGTCTTTCGCCATCAAATTTCTATAGCACATTCCAATCATTAGTCCTCAATATCTTAGACCCTCATCCATATCCCATTTTCCAACCCAGACTATGTATAAAAGCAAGTGACCCACCTATCCATCCGGCACGATAAATATGATTTTGCCAGATCTCTACATTCTGGATCATTCATGCCTCGAACCTTCTTCATACAATTGAGATAACTTTGCATTACTGATTTGCATTCGCCTGTAGTCGCATTGCCGTATTAGTATATAGTCCTGATATTCCATAGTTCAAAGGCATTTCGATTTGCGCACTCGTGAATCCGTATCCAAGTATAAAGAGTGATCCATACCATCATGATCCAATGGAAAACTTCCTCTTTCTGGTCTGTATTCCCAATCCAATTGTTAGTTCTCTCTTCGCCAGAATAATTCATAAACTATAAAATCATGAGAGTTAACATACGGCGAAGGTTTGTTATTGACCATGCGCCCACCCGGGCTTCCAAATGTACTCATGATTATTGATGCGTATTTTACTGTTGAAATGATTCGATGTTATCGATAATTTGGATGCACTTGATCGGAGAAGGATTTTCTATTGTTCCGATAATTCTACCCCGGATTCATGACGTAAGCTATTGGAGCTCTAATGAGGGGTCAACATCAATGACAACTACCTGATCATGAGTAAAAAACCGAGACATTTGTAGTGATAAATTCATATCAAAAAAATCTATTTCACCACTTACAAGTAGCTTATCTATTAATTGACCTCATATACTACCTCAAGTACTCAAAATGCCAATGCAGGTCCCCATTCAAATTACCCCTCTTCGAAGCTCTAAACCACCGTGCTAATATGTACCTCAGGAAATTGGAAGGGAGCTGCCAATGCGGCCTCGTAGAGTTTTCTCTTCAATCTCAGACTCCCGTTCCATACCAACTCTGCGCTTGTTCCATCTGTCGCAAATGTGGGGGTTATGGTGGATGCGTTAATCTAGGCGGTATAGCCTCTACCCTCGAGATTAACAAGGGCAAAGAACACATCAAGTACTTTCTTCTCCCCTTCCTTCCTTTCTCTTTGTTATTTATTCTCCTTTCTCTAACCTCCTTAGAAAATATACTGCAACCGCCGACCGTGGTAAACCCACCGCAAAAAAATGCACATCCGAACGCAATTTCTGTAGCGAATGTGCATCGATGCTCTGGCTCTGGGACAAAACATGGCCGGAGCTAATTCATCCTTTTGCAAGTGCAATTGATACGGAACTACCAATCGCAGAGGAAATGGTTTGTGTAAAGGGGGACAGTAAGCCGGAATATGTTAGGTGGCCGGAGGGAAAGAAGAAGGTTTATGAGGGGTATGGGGAATTTAGTATCGAGGAATGGCATAAGGAAAAGGGATTGTGGGTTGCGTGAGTGGAAGAAGGTTTGGGGGATTTTGGAGAGGTCTGGGGTATTGGAGAATTCGATATGTCATGAGGAGCGTGTTAAATCAAGTTTGCTTGGGATATTCCAGAATGCACGTTCATTTTGTGACAACTCGTGATGACTTCTCCTCCCAGCAACTTTGCTTCAACCTTTGAGTGAAGATACTGATTAGCGAAATAAAGGAGGGTGCCCATTGCGAAATGAAATTTTCGTAATTGGGAGAAGGCAGTACATCGAATAGACCTAGCGAGATATTTCAACGGTCGACGAAGCTCAATAGTTTGAGCTTTTTGATAAATACACTAAGATCTAACTATACCAATGTTAGGGCGGTAGCATTCGCGAGATTATATATTTGCGAAGGATTCATTGCACATCTGGATCTCTAGATCCTCGTTTCAATGAGGCAAATGAATACTTACATGAGGTCGAATTAAGGATAACTTTATTCATGACTATTTACCCAAATAAGTACTCGTTTGAATCAGAATACCAAACCTTACCACAATCACTAGAAATTCCCTCTTCCCGTCAACCACTTACAATCACCCACTCTCTCAAATCGTCAACAAATTCAATCTCTTCCCAACCATATACAAAACCCACAGCGCCTGCACGCTCTTCGACTGACCAGATGGATACCCCATCAAATTATCCGCCACAATCGCCAACACCCAATCCGAATACAGCGCACCGAAAACCAAGCAAATCGGCACGCAAGACACATATCCACTAAGCCCGATCAATGCACCTGTCCCAAACGGGTTTTTCTCTCTCCCCGAGAACCGGAGGCAGAAGATGAATACAGTCGCGATGGCGATTGCCAAGCCCACGCCCCCAAACACCGCAGTGATGGTGCTCATTTGAGGTGAGAAGTTAGATGAGGCAAGAGAGATGATACCGGCTGTGCCGGCGATGACGCCGGGGAGATAGAGGAGGAGCCACCAGAAAGAAGGGAAGATGGTGATGAAGCCCGAGGTAAGCGAGAGAGCTAATTTCATTGCCGCAATGGTTTCAAACTGCCTGGGAAATAGTGAGTTAGAATCTTCGCGAGAGGGGATGGAGTGTAGAGGGGATGTAGTATACCAGGCGTGGTTGCATGTAACCATGGTTTTGATGGCTGGTATAAGTGTAAAGAGAAGCTTTACAATCGCGATCGCTTTGTTCCATATGCTGTCTGGAGTGGACTCTATCCATGGTGTGGCGGGTCTCTTGTGGCAACACATCACAATAACAGTGTAATATGTAAGGATGTGGGAGAAGAAGCCCCATCCACCATATGGGAGGGAGTAACACGAGGCTTCAGCGCTGAAGGCGTTACTTTGAGTATTGTCTGCGAGAACTGATGGTATGTAGAGGAAATGGAGGAGATACATGTGTGAATATCGTGTAATGAAATTCATTCTGGCTAAGAGGAAGTTGGGTTTAGTTCACTTCGGGGCTTGAAATGAAATAAGAAACATGTATGCGTGTATACAGACTATGCTGTCCTCGCTCCCTCTCTCTATATATATTCAATGCTGTCAGATCCTACACCACACCCTTCAGATGCAAGTAAAACAATTGCTAGTAATACCCAGCCTCGTTGTATCATTATCTAGATTAAGCTAGCTCATCTCAAGTCGAATTTATTCATGGTCAACCAAAAGCCTAGAAAAGAAGCCTCACAGACGAAACATCTTGAGCCTCACGAAAATGCTGCATGACTCGAATCGATTTTCCTGATAAGATCAACCCCTCGAATCAAACAAGATGCTGCTAAGAATATTGGGGGCTCCAAGCACTCTAGACGTTTCGAAATTCACATGCGTTGCATTTCGATAGTTTGAAATAGGCTAATGCTGCTTACTGCAGGGTGAGTGGATAAGAATCTTGCGCCCAATGACCAAATCCAGCTAGCTTTGGAAAAATTGATTAGCAAGACAACTTTATGAGGCAGCCACTTGCTTCGGCTATGAAATCGTGATAGTCAGTCTCCTTTACGGTTTCGGGAGGCTGTGAATCATAAAAAGTGTAGCATTACTGCTTGGCAAGGCGGTACTTGGCCCCCACAATTTGAGGATGACGAGAGATTCTTAAAAGTCCAACGGAGGCTCGAGTGAATCTGCGTGCTTATTGGATGGATTATACGAAGTCAATCGACAAACGATTCGATCGTTATTCATTCGATCATTAACCCACAGCCTCAAATCGAGATGAATTATCAAGACAGCCAACTACCTAGGTATCAATCGATCTTCTTCAATTACCCGAAAGACTTAAAATGTAGCCTTTTTTCATTCGCTCAAACACATCGCAGTACTTTGGCCTGCTAAAACTTATTGTGATAAGACATAACAAACAATGTAAAAGTGAAGAGTGCGGCATGCAACAAAACTTTTGTTCACTATGTAGCTAACAGTGGAGCAAGATTTTCGAGAAAATTGACTAGATAAGATGAGATCACACAGAAAGTGACATGTGAATGAATGAAATGTAGCGATTGAAGATGAGATCAAAAGATGAGACGATATAAGCGCCAGCAACAGCAAGAAAATGGATTTTCCCTTCGTGAACACTTCAACATACGGACACTGCCCCTCACGTCCCAACCGCAAGATCCAAATCATCAACTTCCCCTCTCAAGAACAAACATGAAGCTATTCAGAAATGCAGACATGCAACAAAACCAAAAGCCGCAGGCGACGAGACACGATCCGACGAGTCTACCACGAAACATCCTCACCTTCCCTTGCACCACGAAACAAAGTGAATACACCGCAGCCACCAGCCATCACAGCCCTAAGCTTGGTCCAGGCAAGCGACCGACCAATCTCAAGCACTCCGCAAAACTCCAAATCTTTTGTTGCACATCTCAAAAAAGTGACAAGTTTCAGGACCCAAATAGGAAAGCGCGCTAAGAATGAGTTGCTATCATAGACTCTCAGGAATGTGCGATCGCGCGCAGAGGGGCCTGAGCTTTGCGATTGGAAGGTTATTGGTTCTTTGAAATTGTGAGGAATCTGGAGAAATCTTGTAGGGCTGAGGTATTGTGAGCTAGTGGTAGCTGCGGGAGCCCTACGGGAAGCTAGTGGATTGAGTGTGGAGGTTGAAACTGAGATTTGGACCAGTAGATGCGTGAGCGCATTGTGGTGGGAAGTTTAGATGTGCAACAAAAGGGATTTGAGTGCAGTTGGGTGAATTGTGAAGGGTGAGATAGGATGAGAAGTCTGGAATCGATGAGATGAGATGGCAATAATGTAGGAATGAAAGTGCAAGTACTCGCAGTACCATCCCTTACCAAGTCATACGTTATAATACAAAGGAGTACTATGATAGAATGTTAGGTGTATAAAGAAAAGTTCCCATAATTCACTTCACATAAAACACTCATCACGAACCAGGAAACCTACCAACAGAGGAACGATCGCAATATTACTAATAAAACACTGAGCTCAGGTTCAGATGCGCAATCCAAACTTCGGTCACTCACCGCAATCTCTTACACAAATTTTGGCCAACATATAGAATGATACATTGAACTAAAAACTTCAGACTTGCAACAAAGTCTTTTCAAGGCTCACTCATTCATTGTCCATCCGTACCGCCCCATTCCAGTTTGCTGTCCGAGCTCTGCAACTTCACTTCTTACATACGACGAGAGCTCTCAATGGCGAATTTCTCCATCCACCAAGGTCGTTTTAGTATCAAAACCTCAGCATTCTTCAGAAAAAAGTTCAGAGTACCTAAACAAAGACAAAAACAATCAAGATCACAAAAACGACAAGTCCCTTTTCTCTTCCGAATTCCTCGAAACTTTGAATGCGAGATCTCCAAACAGGCAGGATTTCAATTCCGTTGTCAAAATCAAAAGCTTATCTCAATTGCAAAAGTTAGAAAGGTCTCCAGATGTACAAGGAAACTCTTTGATATCGAAGAGGGCACGTGAATAACACGTGAGTATGATAACATGGGACGAGAGGAATATTTGATCATTAAAATTTTAGGTTAGAAGGCTATTCTCAACTGTGCTTCTTGATGACACTAATATAAAGAGAATCGAAAGATGCAGTGATTGTAGCATTGGGCTTTCTACGATGCTTTGATGCGCTAACTATCGTCGCATGACCTCATCTGGTTGCGAGACCAGAATTCTATTAGATATTGGGATGTTACGGACTGGTCCTGTCCTAGACAAACGAGCAAATAAACAGATGATAGTATCTTCGCCTTGAATTATGGTCCCCTGATCGAACTTTTTCGATGGCGATTCCAAGCTGGTCATTTCTCTTTCTCAAGATGTGAATCTTATGCCGGCATTCAGGAAAGGAGTATTACACTTCGACTGCGAAGACGGACACCCCCTTTTTTGGCAGCTCGGAGACTAATTCAAGGTGATGAATAGGTTGAATTTCCTGTCCATGATATCTCGGTGGTCATAAATATAACGAAATTGCTTGGATCCCTCTTTCGAAGCATTCTGCATGTATTATCTTCCCAAAGACAGACTGGCACGCAGTACATCATCCATCAGCCTTTCGACAACTACATTTCAGTCTAACTTGGACATGGAATATGTTCAGAAAGCTTTCAGAGGTACTTTTCTTGCGAGAGACTATCTTCATATCATTTTAAAGATGGATGGGTAGGAAATAGTTGCAAGATTCAACTGGTCTTGGGAGGAAAAGTTAAGACACATAACTTCGGCAGATGGTACCTAATCCTTCGTTTGGTAAGCCCCCATTTCGCAAAATATGAAATACTACAATCTGGAAACATTTTGGCATTTGATAATCATTAAGAATTTGTGTGTCATTTTGTACACGGATAGAGATTTTATTTGAGTGTTGAGTGTGGGGTGCTGTGATGTCTGCAGCAATGCACGATTTCTCTACAAGGGTTTCATGAAGGAATCTCCAGCTTCGTTAGCGACAGAAAGTACAAGCCTCAATGCCAGAACTCCGACACAGCCACTCGTGGGGATGCGTACTAAATGAAGTTGGCAGAGAAGAAGAAGAAAATGATTCGGGCAAGTTCCAGATCTAATCAAACAAGCATCATTTGACTAATGATCACTACATACTACACAGTAGACTATCACCAATACAGTTTGAATTTTGATCTCATGATTCGGGCCTTTCCGAGCCTTACCTTAAGGTTGATGGCTTTCTAGCTTCTAGCTTCTAAGCAAATTCCCCCAGAATCAAATAAAAGGGGGGCGGGCAAGACCGAGCCCAAATTCATTTCTATACCGTGCTTCAAATAGCATACACATACTGTCAGGCTAATAAGTCAACAAGGAGCTTCCGAGCATCAATACATACCTAGGTAGGTAGAGAGCATCAATACATTGTAGCAACAGTACATAAAGTGGAGTTACAAACCCGATATGACATCATATTTCTTGAAGATTCGAATTTTGGAAAAACTTCCATCGAACAGCTCATCAGCATTATGAAGGATATCCCGGAAAACCATTCATAGCCTTAGGAATTGAATTTTTTGGGAAGGTATGGCAAGGGATTCAACTTTTACTGCTAATTACTACCTAAGTCCACGGCTAACATACATTCTCGCCACACGAAGCAGATGTTTTATTTTGTTGGGAAAAGCAGAGGGTTTTATTGGATTATCGATCATTTGTTCTCGTGAAACAATTTTTACCGCAAAGCCAACACTAGATCTCAGCCCCTCCATCTCATCCCACGGGCGCAGTTGAGTTAACCCTGGCCGTATGTAAGAACACCAAATGGAAGACACACGCACGATACGGTACTTGCGGCTCAAGCATTTCCCACAAAAGATGGTCATCAGCTTCATACCTATCTTCGCTCTCGCCGAAGAGTATGGTGGCATGGTCTCGGAACAAGAACGATGGTACGAGGTACAAAGGAAAACAGATGAAATCCTGTTACTAACTGATTGGGCGCGCTGAGCCCGAAGATACCCAATGACGATAACGTTTACAAGTACCCCGCCAATATTACGCATGATAAGCTCGTCACCCTCACGTTCTCAAGTATATCCTCGAAAAAGGTTTCACACATACTTCCAACACACGGAAATTACTCCCAAGATAGGATTGTCGTGGAGTATTGGGACTCGATTGGGTTGCCTTATATATATTTTGATATAGATTCTAGATTCTAGAAGGTTGGAACAGATTAAGTGGTGGAGTGATCTTCCCATGAATTTGGACGTTTGTCAGATCTAAGATAACAGGCAAAGCATGTTTTTCTTTTCCGGTTGGTGATAGAGTGATATGATCCATATTATTGAATCCATCATCATCTTGCATCAAACTTGGAAAATCTTCAGCTCTCATTACTACAGGCAGCTAGCTAAGCCATTCAAGACCATTCAACACCAGGCCAACCCCCGGACGTCCCTTGAAAAAAGGTTCGTAAAGTACCTGGCTAGTTACTTAGTAGGGACTTGGTAGTGAGTACTAGGTAGGTATTACAAGTCAAATTATAACTAGGACAACTTAATATTCAGGAATTCAACCGCGCGCCAAATGAAAGAAGAGAGAATTCCCCCAAATTGTGGATAATTTATCAAATGTATACCTATCAGACATACGGATTCATATGGATTCATACCTGGGTGCTAGGTATCATATGGTTCATACCAAACTCGTAATCATACATATCATACATATCCGATAGAACCGCCCAAAACAAGAAGTTCATTGCCTTTCTATTTGATTCCCATTCTCCAGCCACCTCCTTCGTATGATATTCAAGCGCTGCCCGTGTTGTAACTTTTGGTCACTCTTCGTTTTTAGCATCTCTCTGGCCCTGTAAGTTGTAACTATCTACCAGTACCCAGTATTGAATATCTCACCGACATTCACTTCTTGATTCGGTTTTCCCCTCACTCGTCATATTACGACATTACCCTTACTTTTGGGGTATGACTGTTGTGATTTGATTTATTCCACCACAACTCTCACACCAAAACAATACACAAAATCAATTATTCACATCATCTATTGCGGACTCAAATAATTTACCAAGAGTCCAGAGTAGCAAACTCATTAGAGTCAACATCAAAAGGCCTAATTAATTATTAGTGCTGTCCCTCACAAATTTTCTCGCAAGTGAACAGCCAGCAAAGCACTTTCCTGTCGCAAATCGAGAATAACCCCGCCATCCATCATCAATCATGACTTCCTACGATTATGAGTATGAGACGGTCGAAGAACCACGTCGACACCACTCCCATCGTCATCGAAAACATGATCGCGAACCAAGATATGCTGACGAGCCACGTTACGTCGAAACTCAAGAAACGTATGTTCGCTCAGCCGCTCCTACCGTAACTCATGCTCCCGACGCTCCGATTAGAGAAAGAGAGAGAGAAGTTATTCAAACAAGAGAACTCATACGTCAACCTCGTCGTGAAGATAGCGATTTGTCAATCGAAGAGGTGAGAAGAGATTTTCCCCCACCAGCAGGTGGTGCCTATGTAGACCAACGAACGACCGCCCGTGAGTCTAGGTACGGCGCGCCAGCCCGCCGATCTCGTTCCGTAGGGCGTGATGGTCGCTACGGAGAATACCTTGACGATAGCAGAGGCGATCCACGACGCTCTTTCCAAGATCTCGATCGACGAAGTGATTATTACGAAGATACCAAAGTCGAACATAAACGATCGCTTTCACGAAATCAAAAAATTGTAGCCGCCGTTGGAGGAGCTGCTTTAGCGGTTGGTGCAAAGGAATTATGGGATCGAAGATCTGCCGAGGGTAGACCAGTCGAGCGAAACCCAATAGCGTCTGCTATGGTCGGAGCTGCCGGTGCTTTTGCCGCGTACGAAGGAACAGAACTTTACGACAAACATGGAAATAAAGAAAAGAAAGTTAAGAAATACGCTGCTCACAGAGGCCGAAATGGTGAAGTTCAAGAATCCTATTACTCCGAAGAGGAGGAGATCAAACCTGAGAAGAAGAAGGGTCGCCGCAAGTCAATTGTTGAGGGCGCTATGGCTCTCGCAGGGTTAGGAGCTGCCGCAAAGGGCGCCGAACACCATCGAGGCCGCAGAGGTAGCGGAGACAGCTATTATGAGGAATCGAGCTCCAAGAGAAGCAGATCAAAGTCCAGATCAGGTGAGGGCACTGCCAAGTATCAACAAGCTGCCAAAGCTGCCCTTTTAGCGGGTGCTGCCGAAGCATTCCGAGTCCGAAATGAGCCTGGAGCCTGGGGTGGTGAGAAAGGAAAGCGTATCCTTACTGCAGCCATCGGAGCCGGTGGTATTGATGCGGCTATCGACAGAGATGCTGACAAGAAGAGCAAGCGTCATATCCTTGAGGCAGTTGTTGGAGGTCTCGTTGGAAATCGTGCCATTAACGGATCACGAAAGGATGTCGAAGAAGATCCTGTTACTGGACGCTCTCGATCTAGATCTCGAGCACGTTCTTCATCCCGAGGTGGAGGAGGAGGTGGTGGAACCGGTCTCGCTGCTCTCGCAACTGCAGGTCTTGGAGCTATCGCTGGCAAGAAATTACTTGACCGTTCCAGATCTAGATCCAGGGCTCGTTCCCAATCTCGATCTAGAGCCCGTTCTCAATCTCGTGGACGCAGAGATGATTACAGCCGCAGTCCATCCCCAGATCGTAGCAAGCGTAGCAGAAGCAAGAGTGTCAGCTCAATGGCAAGAAAGGGTTTGGCTGCTCTTGGTATTGGAGCTGGAGCTGGAGCTGTTGCTAATGAAGTCGGTCGTAGCCGCGATCGTAGCCGTAGCCGCAATCGTGATAATTACGATGACTATGATTCTTACGAAGAGCGTCCAAGACGCTCTAAGAACTCAAGAGGTGATGTGTATGGCAACCCACGTCACGCCGACTCTCGTGGAAGTATAGACAGTCGTGGAGGTGGTAGAGCGAGGGATGGACAGAGAAGCAAGAAGGCTTCTGACGGAAAGAATGGATATGACAGCGACGATTCATTGATTTCGTCGTCAGAGGATGAGAGGAGGGTCAAAAAGATGAAAGGTAAGCAACTTATTACAGCCGGTTTGGCAACTGTTGCCACGATTCATGCAGCACATAATGTCTACGCAAGTATGGAGGCACGTGATGCGCGACACAAGGCTGTTAAGGAAGGAGAGATCACCCCAGAGGAGGCAAGGAAGCTTAAAGCAAAGGCCGCATTACAAGATGCAGCATCTGTTGGTATTGCAGCACTCGGTATCAAAGGAGCCATTTCGGAAATCAAGGAAGCAAACGAGATACGACACAAATGTAAAGAATTTCGAGAGAAAAAGGGCGAACGTCATAAGAAACGTCTCGAGAGACAAAAGAGACATTTGGAGAATGGTGACAGAAGACAAAGAGAAGATTCTCGCGACACATATTCTCCGTCTTATGACAGTCGTTACGATGATCGATATGATGATCGTCGCTACAATCCGGGTCCTCGTTACTATGATGGAAATCCATACTCTACGGGTTTACCAGCTCCTCCTGTTGGATATGAAAGATAATCCAACCATCTCATATACCGACACACACACACACACACACACACCAATTACGCTCTTTTTTCTGGCTTCCGCCCAACACAATGCCTTTGTTCAAGCTTTGCCTAAAACCATTTCATGAAAAAACCGAAACAGCAAACGATATTACAGAAAGGAGTTGTGATGATTGGTTTTGCCTTTGGGGTCTTTCTTCGGCGCAAGGATGATATTATGAATTCACGACACATCACAGAGTTTCTCCATGCCTTGACGAATTTCATTATCTCTCTCACATGTTTTACATAACACCCAGACGTTGTTTTTTTTTTTTTTTTTTTTTTGAATTTTATATTTTCCTTTGTCATTTCGTTACTTTATTATTTCTTCATTTTACATGATCAAAGATAGATGAAGAAATTTTATAACGATCCTACATACCCATACAAGTCCCAGTCTACATTTTATATTGTTACCAAATTTATCTACATAAGAACCATAACTGATTGGTATATTTTCTCCATATTAGCTCGCTCCCATCGCCATTAAGAAGGATAGCTTAACAGCTTATGTCCGGCGCAATGCATAGTGTAATCAAGTACAGCGTACAGCGTACATACCTACCCGCATTCGGCCAACGGAAACACGAACGCTTGTAGTAACGCGCGGGTATTCGAAGTGGAACGAAGGATTGATTGAATGGATGACGGATCGGGAGGGTACCTTAGTGTGGAATGACGCATTTGGATATGATGGACGATTTATTACGAAACTGGGAATGATGGAATGAGATGTTGGAGGGGATTTTATTTTTTATGGATGAATGCGTTGTGGCAAGATTTTCTATTGATGATTTGATGATTTGGATCTACCTACCTAGCTTTAGTTGGGAGATTTTTTTGATATTTTGTTTTCACCCTTTGAGGTCGATTTCGTTGGGTTGATTTGGCTTGGTTTGGTTTGGTTATGAATTTTATTTATTTATTGAGTTATTTATTTGAGCAGTTTGAGCAGTTTGTGAGTTTGTGAGTTTTTGAGTTTGCAGAGAATACGGTGGATTGGGAATAGTGATGATGTGATGATGTATGTATGTATTGTGTGTGAGTGATGATCCTATGGTTGGTTGTGGATTGGAAGATGGATACGGGAGGATGATGATGAGATTGTGCGTTTGTGCGTTTGTAATTTTGTGTTACCTCTGGATTCTGGATTCTGGAGCGGTGTGAGTGGGGGGTTTGATTTAGTTGGTTAGTTAGTTAGTTAGTGGGGGTTTTGAGTTGAAGATGGGAATTTTTTTCGAGGTGGGATGTTGGATGGATGGATGGATGGATGTTGGTTGTTGGTTGTGAGGGGGTTTGGTTTGGTTCTGTTTTTGTGTGGTGCTGTGGTGCCGTGGGTTGATTGTGTGGAATGATTTTATGCTTTGATTGGTTTTTGTTTCTTTCTTTGCTTTGGTTTTTGGGGAGGGGAGGGGAGGGGAGGGAGCATTTATTGGGTGGATGGATGAGTTGAGTTGAGTTGAGATGCTAATGCGGATGCTGATACGGATGTGGATGGGAATGAATGAATGAATGAACGAAGGAACGAATAGAACGAATTGATTATACCGTATGCAAATTCGCGAGACTTTTCATGATATTGTGAAAGTGAATGTGAGTATCTATAAATGTGGAAATTGTTTATTCTTAAAAGTAGATGTACAGTGGTTATATGGATAAGTTATGTAAAACGCTAATTGATTTATATTTAGCTAGGATATTGAAATATATAGATTCAATTGATTTATTCTATTTGTTTTGATATTGCTTTTAAAAATCTGTTTTGAATTAATTCTAGAAAGTATTTTTAGGAATTATTATAAAAAATATTGTTTTTAATATTTTTTTATAATAAATATATTGAAAAAGAATAATATTCGAATTAATTAAAATAAAAGAAATCAATTTATTATTATTTAATTTATTATTAATATTTTTAAATATTAGATTTATATTATTATTTATTATATTATTATCATTTTGTATATCTAAATATTAAAAAATAATTAGAAATTAATAAATCAAAATATATATTTTATATTATATTAATATAAAATTTGAAGAGATTCGATTTTTCTTTTTTAAAAAAAGAATAAATCTAATATATAAACAGATTTATTATATTATTAAAATATAAATAATTTCTTAGAAATATTTTAATTAATTCTTTATTTTGATTATTAATCAAATCAATTAATTTATTCAATTTATAAGCAAATCAAAAACAAATAGATATATACTATATTGAAAAATTGTTTTTATATTATTTTGAAAAGGAATAAAGGAATTTGTTATTCGATTTGTTTTATATAAAATAGAATATAAATATTATATTGCTTTTTAAAAACCTTTTGTATCAAAAAATAATCAACAAATTCGATTACAATTTATATTAGATTATATTTATTGGATTAAAAAATAATGAAATATTATTTTATAATTAAATAAAATATAAATAATTATAGAATTATATAGAAAGATGTATATTATATATCAAAAGAATAAAGCTTTTGATTTTATATATATATTAGAAAGAAAATATAAAAAAACTGAATAAATATTTTGGGATTGTTTTTTAAATAAATCAAATAAAGAATTAAATATATTTTGAGAAAAGGATTGAGGTTTTATTAATATTAAATCTTATCAAATATATATAATATCTATTATATATAATTAAATAAGATTAAACCCAGATTATATATTCATATAAAATAATATATTAGATTATTCTGTAAAAACTATTATTCAAGCTTTTTTTAAAAAAAAGATTGAAAAATAAATTAGTTTCCCTTTTCTTTTAATTTCAATTTTATTAAGAATATATAAAATTGAATAAAAGAATAGATATAGAATTATTATTTTATTAATAAAATAAATTACAATATATTTAGAAAGATTATAAAAAAGATTTAGGAAATAATATCAGAAAATTATTTGATAAAATTGTTTAGAATTATAAAAAAATATTACAAAATAATAATTATAGTAAATGAAATACACACAAGATTTTAATATAATTTAATATATTCAGATATTTCTTTATAATATTTTGATATACTAGAGTTTGTTATATTAATTTTTAAAGAATATAATATTTTGATTGATTAAAGCCTTTATATATAGGGAAAAGCACAATCGCTTTTTGGTATGTTTTACAATACTTACCCTTACAACCATCGTAGATTTGGATACCGGGTACTGGGTACTGGGGAATGGCTATGGATACACGAGATGGTTATAACTTATCAGGGAGATGGAGGGGTGGGTGTATTAGATAGTTGGGAGAGATTATAAGTAAGGGAAAGATAAGATAAAATGATGGAATGATGAAGTGGGAGTGTTTACGAATGATACTGAAGATAGAATAGGATAGGATAGGATAGGATAGGATAGGATATTAGATGTATCCAGTTAATAGGAAGAGGTACTTGGTATGTGTGAATGTACATAATTACTTAAGGACTTGAGGACTTGAGTGTGCAGAAGAGTGTTGAATTCTTATCACCGAAACTGCTATTGAATGCATGTTGGTACAAAGTGTTTCCGCTCTCCTCTTTAAATTCCGCTTCTTATAAGTTCCGATATCCCGATACCATAAGTTCCGATTGATTTGTGCCCAACCTTCCTACCAAACCCTTCCGTTCCATATTGTCCCTTTTGCACACATCACCTGATCTTTGCACTAATTTTCCGTGAAAATTCTGTCGCGCACAGACCATTACCCATCCCTATATAATCATCTCTTCCCTCCCAACTTTTTTTTCTTCTTCATCGACAATACTGTGAGTACATCCTACCCCCATTATTTCCCCTTTTCTCAATCACCTCAAACATATACTAATAATCCCGTCTCAATAGTCAAAGAATCATTTCTTTAGTAAACGTCCTTCTTCTGTGTTCTCTACAAGAGCCACAGACTCCAACCGAGACGATGAGTCGAGCCTCGAAACCCTAGAGTGAAACCGTTTTTGCTTTCGCACTTTCCGCAAGGAAGGCGATCGGGTCTGGAAACAGATCTGATTGTATAGAAAGTGGTGATGATCTCGTCCCTTTACTGGTTGTCTTAGGACGCTGGTTCTGGGTGGGTTTTGATGGTTGTCTGATCGGTTTTTATACTTTTTTTTTCATTGCTATCTTGGATTTGTTCTGGGATGTAAAGAAGAAATTCTTGTGGTCGTGGGGTGGGAATTGGAAATGATGGATGTAATTGCATGTGTGTATGGGTTTCCTATATATCGATATTCGAGTGCGTATGTGAAGAAGGAGTTGTAATTATTATGCAAATAAATCTGATTGCACTATCCTTTGATACATGGTGGTTTTAAGATCAAGCATTTAATTCTCTCACCTTTCTATGGCGACTTTGACTTTAAATTTCGGTGCTTGAACCTAGAACAAAAATTCTGCCGAAAACTTTTCTTCAGCGCTCCTTCGGTCGGTCCGTTGTTAATCTGAGCTAGTGTCGGTCCCGAAAATGTACCGATTCACAGCATCATCTGGACCATGAGGTGTGTATACTCTTCGGAACCTCTGCTTTCAATTCCTGATATACATTTATTCACTCACTAATCTCATCTTGTATTCATCAGTCGATATGCGTTTGTTCCAATCTTTGACTCGGATGGAAACGATGTTGAGGTTTTTGATTTGATGGTAGATGGCAACTGTCAAATCGCGTGCGAGAGCTTGGGGTTGGTCTGCGTTGTGATTCGGTTGTGTTAAGATGGATTTTAAGGAGGTGAGAAGGAGGATTGGGGATTGGAATTTTCAAATTTTCTTAGGGTGTTTCTTGGCTGATGTCGTTGTGTTGTTAGAAATGTTAGTTTGACTTTTGCGGTTGTCGTTTGTTTCCTCTTTTTCTGTGCGCGTGTTAGGATGAGGTGAGTGTTGCTTGGGGTCATGCTTGGGGTCAGATGATTGATGTAGAGTTGTTGTTGTTGTTGTTGTTGTTGTTGTTGTTGTTGTTGTTGTTGTTGTTGTTGTTGT